CCGTTACCACCTTATCCTCGCCGCCCAGCCACCCCAACTGATGCGCCACCACGCCCCTGCCTTTTCCCCACCCACCTTTCTCCCTGTGTCGCCTACTTCCCCGGGCACCACCGACGCCAGGAGGTCCCGCCCAGCGCCGCCGCCGCCGCCCCACAAGCTCCTTCTTCCGGCACCCCCACTCCCACCGTCCCCACCACGTACTCCCACCACAAAGCAACCACTGGTTCCGATGGGATCCGGATCCACCTCCCCTCGCCTCCCGCTCCTCAATCTCTCCGCCGCCGCGCAGGTCACAGCCGCCTGCCCTCCCTACGCCGCCGCCCCGGACGGCCGGAGTAGCACCGGAGGCGAGTCGCCCCTCCTCTCTCTCCTTTCCTTCTTGCTCCTCACCTCTCCCTCGTACACTTGTGCCGCAGGAGCCGCCATGGCCATCTCAAGCTCGCCCGTCGCTGCCTCTCTGGATCCGGGCGCCGTCAGCCAGATCCGCTCCAGCCTGCAGTTCGCCTGGGTCGCTCGATGAGGTGCGGTGCGTCGCTGGGTTGCAGTTCGTGCTTTTTTCAGATTTTGGTTGTGCAATAGCACAGCAAAATATGCCTGACTCCTCGGTGCAGTGCATATGTGCGTTTTGTTGCTATCCGGCCCCGACGGCTTGCAGTACGTCTGTCACGTTGGTGCAGCTCGCTGACGTGCGTGAAGTCCGTCGAGGGCCCTTCCTCCTTCCCTGCACGAGCACCACCGGCAAGACATCACCAGTGCCCCCATCCCCTTCCAGGTGACCTCTGGCACAACCACCCGACGAGTGGCTGCCCCATCCCCCACCCACAGATCCACCTCCTCTAGTGCTTAACAGCGAGCTCCACTGCGCGGGATCCCCATCACACCGGCTAGCTCTTCTCCCTTCCCCTCATCTCCTCTACGGCTTCAATGTTGACAGCGACCCCCAATTCACTTTACTGTTTTGCTATTATTTTACGGAAAATATGTAATTTTGCTAGAGGCTTGTTCTAAAAAAATGTTGGGGCTTGTTTGTACAAAAGTTGATACCTAGGTTCAGATCATTTTACATGCAGTTCCCTTGGTTCACATCATTGTATTGCAGGATTCTAGCTGCTCACTATGCTACGGCCCGCCCCCAGCAAAAAGACAATATATGGAGCAGAAGAGAAAAAGAAGGCAGTGCGTGCAGTTCGGTTTTTGCCTTGTAATTTTGTTTTGCTCATAGTGTAGCGCTTCACTTACGCTCAATGTGGAGTACAAAAAATGATATAGAAACAAAAAAAATGATGAGGTTCACTTTTTCATAGTGTTGTGGTTCATTTGCCATCGTCTCTGCGGTCCACTCCCATTCATAAAAAAAGTTAGAAAAAAGGAAGAAAATAATGCAGTTTACTTGCTCGTCTAATGCAGTGTGGTTTTCCATATGAAGTAGTGCGGACGGCCGTCTGATGATGTTCATCTCGTAAGTGCAAAAAAAAGTTGCCGAAACGACAACAAAAAGTAACATTGTTCACTTCTCCGGAATTTTCCGGTTCATTTACGCACGATGTGAAGCACACTTCACTTCCTCGCGCGATAAAAATTAAGTCTGTCAAAAGAAACGATGCGGTGCACTTGCCAGTCTGATGCAGTGCGGTATTTCGTCTGAAGCAGTGCGTTCTTCTTTCCCCGTCCGAGAAAAAATATGTCTAAACAAAAAGAAACCATGCAGTGCACTTGCCCATCTAATGAAGTGCGGTATTTCGTTCGAAGCAATGCGTTCTTCTATCCGATGCAGTAAATATGACGATTTTGGTCTCACAAAGAACAGAGTGTCCGCTTATCGGTAAAATCAAAACTGCTCTTAAACCGTAAGGAATTAGAGAGAGTGTTCTACGTGAAAAAGTTGCGTCTTGTCGATATCTTTCCAACGGCATATGATTTGAATTATTCCGACCAGCCGTTCGTAAAAATTTCGCAAAAGAACAGCCGCTGCCTCTCGAAGTCAGCCGCACGATTTTCAAAATTAACTAAAAACCGTAAGGAATCTCAAAACCATTTCAACATATGAAAGTCGCACCTTGTCCGTAGCTTTCCAACGGCGTATCATACATCTCGTTTCCACAAACGGTTAGAAAATTGGAGCAAAAACAGTACCGAAAATTTCAAAAAATTTAAAAAACAGAGTTCCGCGATTTAGTAAATTTGAAACTGCTCTTAAACCGTAATGAATTAGAGACAAATTTATATATGAAAAAGATGCGACTCGATGATATCTATCCAACGGCGTCTCGGTTGCTTCATTCCGACGAGTGGTTTAGAAGAAATCGCCAAAAAACGCTCGCTGCCACTCGTCATGGGATGCGCCAATTTCAAAACTGCTCTTAAACCGTGTGGAATCTCGAAAAGTGTTCAACATGTCGAAGTTGCGCCTAATCCATAGCTTTTCAATGATATATTACATGCCTCATTCCGATAAACGGTTAAAAAATTAGAGCAAAAACAGTAGCGAAAAAATAACGCGTGCAGTTTTTTTCGACGAGAAGTTCACTCTTGTGAGTGCTGCAGCACACTTGGTTCAAAGAATGACGTGCACTTGCGTTCAGCATGCAGTGCGGAAGTGGTGTGCAGAATAGTTATTCTGTTAATATTAGCAGAATAAACCATCTGTATGTGTGTGTGTGTGTGTATATATATAGCACAAATGCCCGTGTGTTGCAACGAGAAAAAGATTTAATATGCGTCCATCAAAAATTCACCAGAATGGCACGACCACATCTTTAAATATTACTATTTCTTACAATCCCATGAAATCTTATATCTCAGTCACAATCTCTCTCTCTGGCATGCAGCCTACATAGTGTTCATGTCATCCTCTATTTTTTGCGAGAAAACTTTTGATCTGTTTATCAACTGTCAAGATAGTTCAACAAACACGAGAAGTAAAAATTACATATAGGTCCATAGACTACCTAGTGGCGACTTCAAGCACTGGAGCAAGTCGAAGACGTGC